GTAAATGTACTTCAATAAATTTATTCTTTTCCCCACTGTCTTTTTCGTGAGAGTATTCTTTTTATTATTTTACTATTTGATCTACTTCAGATGAAATCCTCATGTGCCTCTTGCTATTCTGTTCGATGATCTAAAGTCACCTGTTAAGTATCAAAGAAACCCCTAATGATGAGATGAAAATCATGGAGCTCGATCAAACAACCATTACAAGTTTTTCTTTCTCGCTACTTGGCGTGTACAACTATATTCACCATCCCTTTTAATTAACTAATCCATCCCAAGAAAATATATCGATGTGTAAACTGTGAATTGTACTGTTTTTAATATAATATAATTTATAATTCATAATGTGGAATATCTATCTGGGGGGAGAGAGGACGGAAGAAATTACTTTTTTTTTTCCGCCTCAAAATAATCTTTTTTTTTTCCACAGATGATACAGTTTGCTTCTGTGGATTTTGTGGTGCAACATGTATCCCCCGGCTATACAGGAACGGTACTTAAGAGTGCAAACTGAAAGGGAGGTGGTGGCCAACCTTAATTTTACGTGCATGCAAATTTTTTTTAAAGAAAAACCATAATTTTTTTTGCATATTTCTAGAAAATAGGTTATTTATACTTGAACCTGCAAATTTCCGGAACTGGTTTTCATTATTATAACGAGGTTGGAGGATCAAATTCTTGCCAGACCACTATACATAAGAGTTGAATTGGTACACATAGAAAGTGAATTATATTTGACATAACAAACAAAATTCAAAATAAAATTTGTAAACATTATAAGTTTATAACTTGAAAAAATAGATTGTTTTGTATAAAGGAACATATGAATGATACAAGCATGATGAAAGGAACAAATATGAAGTGAAATTCAGATACAAGGACCACTGGAAGTGGAGAAAAGGTGAATATGAATTTGACTAATGATTGATAATTAAGGTTTGTATGGCTGGCATGATTTGAGATAATTGACCCCAAATTTGGTTTTCTAATTGCACTGAAATTATTGCAAACTTTTCATGGTTTATAATGCAAATCCCCAAATGAGATGAGGCTCTTGCTTTCCAAATTGACGTGCATGGGTGTCCAGCAGCTTGTAAGGTTCATGGATGAAAATTGTTTGCCACGAAAGACTAAGGAAATTAGAAGAACGAATACCTAAAATTGGTAAAGCATTGTTTTCGTGCATGCAGATCAAGACTGAACAAAGATGATAAGAATGTTATTCAATATTTGCTTTAGGAAAAGGTGGTTCAACAATTTCGTTCGCAGCCTTTTTGGGTACTCGCTTATAATCAATAAGTGTGTATCGGCCGTCAATGGGTTGGTCCAGTGGTTTGGGCTTTAGCATCCAACCTAGGAGACTAAAATTCGCACCCCGCTAACAACACTTTGATTATGGAGTTTATACAGGTTTATTTATACCCGTTAAGAGGCTTTCCAAGTACTAGATCGAGGCGTGCGTGCGTGAAGTTTCCTCTTTAGTAATATTATCTTCTTTCCCTTGAACCCCACTCACATGCAATAGACTAAGTATTTGTAATTGTGTGGGAAAAAAAAAGTGTTTGGTGATATACCAAAATAAATAAATAAATAAATGTGTATGGTAATGTAACTAAATCAGGAATTTTACGAGAATTATTGTGATGTTTTTTTTTTCTTTATAAAACATAAAGTTAAAATATTTTGGAAACTTTTGCAAAAATAAGCTTATATACTTAATTACATATGTTTTCTACCTATAAAAGTTATTATACCATTGCAAATTATTAAATTAGGAAAAAAAAAAAAGGGGGAAGAGGGGAGGTGGGGCCTTCACAATTGACCCCCAGCTCCACCAGTAAGTGTGAACGTAATACTAAAAATTGCTATACCAAGTGGAACCTATAGCCACATCTATATGCACCTCACTACCAAATCAAAGTTTCAAAAACCTCTCATTTGTAATTTCGTGGCTCTAATTACTTGAAAGGAAATTTGTAAGAATTGCGATGGATTCATAGGCAATTTTCGGTAGTCATGATGATTTCCTAGTCGCACCTTCCGATGTCACTTTTTCGACCATTTGGTGCTTTATCGGTACATTTCTCTTTCGTTTACTAGCTCTTCAATTCAATACCATTAGTTTAAGCCGTCCCTCAAATAAAAAATAGATAGAACGCATTTTTGCTCTCTAAACTTTAGAAGATCACAATTTTGAGTCACCATTAATTTTTTACTGACAAAATTGGTCATCATCTTTTCGTTTATTCAAAATAATATTAGTCAATTTATCGGTCAACTCTTTTCTCTATTAAATTTTTTAGTTTTTTATTAATTTTTTTACTGAACTAAGACTCGCAATGTATTTTCAAACAATAAAATCAGTTTCTTAATATTTTCTTTTAACAATTTTAGTCACTTTAACAAAATTTTCAAAAATTTAATGGCCCAATTCATTTCTCTTTTAAATTTTTATTTTTTATTGATTACTTAATGGATTGTGAGTTTTATAGATATTTGATCAGAAATTTTTTTAAAAAAATAAATTAAAAAAAAATAAAAGCATTTTCGACCAACTCCTAAGCTCCAATATTTTGCTCCACGACGTCTCACCATCACCTTCCCGCCTGCAAAATAGCCCAGAAAAGGAGCCTCATTAATGATTTTTTTCATTGTCGGATTTTTTTCTTTTTAGAATTTATTTATCGGGTAATCCAATTAAATTATCAGTCCTCTTTGTTTGATTCACCACTTTTATCGTCTCTTTCTTTTTCTGGTGCGGGTAGGTGATGGTGAAACTTCTGAGAGCAGAATATTTAGGGTTTAGGAAGTTTGCCGGAAATATTTTCCTTATTCTTTTAATTTATTTTTTAAGAAAAACTCTGATTAAAGACCTGCGGGTCCCATAATCTATTAAGCAATCAATCAAAAATTAAAGATTTAAAGAAAAAATGAATTGGGTCATTAAGTTTTTTAAAATTCTGTTAAAGTGACTAAAATTATTTTTTAAAAAAAAGAGGGGATTGATTTTGTTACTTGAAAATACATTGCGGGTCTTAATTCAGTAAAAAATTAATAAAAAATTTAATGGAGAAAGGAGTTGACCGTTAGTTGACCGCTAAATTGACTAAAATTGTTGAATAAACGAATAGAGTTTGACCAATTTTGTCAGTCAAAAATTAATGGTGACTCGAAATTATGAACCCCAAAGTTCAAGGACCAAATGTGCGTTTTTGTCCATAAAAAATTAATGATTTCAATTTAATGATTATGATTATTTTTACTTATAAATTACAATTGAAATTGATATAGCCCAGCCACAAGAGTATTCAACATCGCGGATTTCTATTAATGCTTGCTAGACATGGTGGATTTAATTGAATGAAGATCAAGTAACTTCAACTCTCAAATATTTTTGTGGAACAAAAAGAAAAGTGCTTGTAATTTAAAAAACCACTTCCTCCATAGAAGATTCTGAGTACTATGGAGTACAGCGAAAATATGGGTTACTACATCATTCAACGTGACATACCTTGACGATGATGGTGAATGGTGATGATGATGACAATTTAAGCACATTTAAAAGTCTGTCAAGTTCGTCTTAGTCATTAAAACCTTAAAATGACCTGCACCCCGATGATGAAATAGGACATACTCCTCATGTCCAATAAAAATAATTTACTTCCTTAACTCAAATAATGTAACAAAGTGGACTAGTTTTTTGAGACGGATAAAAAAATAGTTTCAACTTTTAATTCAATTACTTTCTCCGTTTCATTCTAATAATATAAATACTGAGAAAAAATTTTAAACAAAATAAGCTATTAAGAAGGGATAGAGAAGTTACAACATTCCTTGAATAGTTTCAATGAAACACATCATTTTCTTTTTCTTTTTGTCTTTTTTTTCTAAAAAGAACTTCAAAGTAACTACACAAATACAGTAATTATTCTATAAAATAATATTTATAAAATAAGGAAGTCTATTAAATAATAAAATTTTTTGGTCCATACATTACTAAATGCGAACAAAATTGATAAATAATAAATTTTTGTAAAACTTCCTATAGAATTATAGGTCTTGTCAATTTCCTAAATTAACAGTTATGTAAATAAAAATTCAGGAAATAAACGTTTAGCATGGTAATTAAGAAGCTAACGAGATTTTTTTTCTTGAAATTTATGTATGATGAAGAAAAGTCTGTCCTTTATTTTCTCATGAACCTCAAGAATAAAATGAAATTAAGTCAATTGATTAAGAAAACAGCCGCGCCATGTTGATGCAGAAGCCTTAAATCGTACAAAAGAAAACCCTAACGTTAAAATGTGTCAAAAACCTTCTATAAAAAAAATTATTAAATATAACCCAACAATAATTTGCATGCGAGCCGACTCCTCCAAACTAACCCAAAAGGCCAACTCCTATAATTTAGAACACGAGTATTTTCGTGCCGATTTGATCTGTTATTAATCCGTGCATCCTTTAAAATTATTCCTCCCAAATCCCAAAATAATAATCCAATTTAAATTTTTAATTTTATTATAATTTGTACTAAACACGAAAATATAAACTGATTAATCATTTCAAGACAGAAATAGTAATTATTATTTTGAATAGAATTTAGCATATCAAAATTACACATCAAGGTCTGTAAGAAATACGTATTAGTATTTAATCATTCTGTACTGTATCGGTTTAATTATAATATATCAATCCCAACGATAAGTTTGAATACTAATTTCTGCTAGTGACTTTGATGGGATGTTAAAGTTTAGAGCATTTCTTTCAGTTCGATTTCAACGTTTACTTTACTGCTTGAGAGGTGATCAGAACCCGTCCACACGTCGAAACTCGAAACATAATGCAAATACAACGAAATAAATAAAAAATCAAAAATTCATTAAAACTGATCAGCCGTACGTACCAACCAACCACCATGCATAACCTTTCATGCAAACTATACTAGTATACGTAATATAAAGTGTAAAAAGGTCCCTGGTGGTCTTTATCATAGATACTAGTAGTAAAACAATGACACACGGAGACAACAACAAATGTGATCTCATCTCATTTCAGTAGCTCATGCCTGGAGTCCTCCTCAACTCCTCGTAGCCAAATTATCATCTATAAAAGGGACTTCATTTCCAAGATCATCATCACCATCCAAAGTGGAAAATCCATTCCAATACACTCTCTAAAATCTATTCTATAACTCGAGAAGAAATTAAGAAGCAAAAGCCAAAAACAACTCCATTATCTCTCCATGGATAAGCTTATTTTTCCAACAATAACATTCTTGTGTCTTCTCATCTTTCTTGCACCAACTAAGGTGGCAAATGCTGCAACATCGCCCTCTTCAATATGTAGCCAAACCCCTTATCCAGAGTTGTGCCATTCCCTCACAATCACCCCAAAATCAACCCTAACCACACTTGATGATGAAACTTCATCATCATTCGACATTAGAGATGCTAGCCTTAAGTTCACTTTGGCGCAAGCTCAATATGTTCACAACCTCATTTCCACCATAGACACAACTTCATTCGATAAGCTAAGCAAGGCTGCTTGGGCTGATTGTCTCGAACTTTATGAAGATACAATTACCAACCTTGCCCGTTGTTCAAGTTCCAAAAACAACTTAAATGACGTTCAAACATGGTTGAGTGCTTCCAATGCAAACCACGAAACATGCAAGAATGGGTTCATTGATTTTCAGTTGAATTCTCAATTGCAATCATTTCCATTCTTCAATACCAACTTCTCAAAACACCTCAGCAATTCCCTTGCCATAAACAAAGCTTCTCTAACATCATCATTATCAGCATCTCAAGTTTCAAGCAATGATCAAATCAAGAACAGGAAACTATTATCACTGGATTCCGGTGATGGATTCCCTGCATGGGTTACGACCGGTGACCGAAAACTTCTACAGTCATCAGGAGGGCCTAAAGCTGATATCACCGTGTCACAAGATGGATCGGGTGATTACAAAACGATTTCCGAAGCATTGGCAGCATCATCAAAAATGAGGAGCAGTTCAAGCAGAGTTGTGATATACGTGAAGGGTGGAACGTACAAAGAAAATGTTGTGGTAACAAATTCAATGTCAAATATAATGATGGTGGGAGATGGGATGGGTTCTACGGTGGTTACCGGCAGTAAAAATGTTCAAGATGGCGCCACCACCTTTAGTTCTGCTACTTTTGGTAAGTTCATCTTCCTAAAAAGAAAAAAAAAAAAAAAATTCATCATCTTTTTATTTTTTATTTTTTGAAGGTCCCATACACTGATCATGATCATTAATAATATCAATGGACCTATTGACACCTGCATTTGGTTTCAAACTCTCTTTAATTAATCTACATTTCATTTTCTTTCCTTTTCCATATTGATTTTACTCATTCAAAATGTATATTCATCACTGAAGTTTGAAATATTTCTAGATAATGAATTAGCGCGCGCACACACACACATAAATTGTACGACCCTTCCTTCGTTGGTTTTTTCCTTTTTTTTTTAATAAAGTTATTATTATGGGTATATATAACACTTTCCAGTCGAAGTAAGATGTTATTGTTAAAACTAATTTTCTAAGTCCATCCAACTTGATCAGTTAACTATATACTTTCTAAATTTTCAACAATAGTAAGAGATAAAAAAAAAACACCATTTTTCTTAGTAAACATAAAAACCATTTTTTTCAACTGTAGTAAATATAAAATTGCACGTATTTTCTGCATTGCAACTCATTGACAAAGAACAAAAGCATCCACTTGTACATATGAACCAATAAATCACCCGAATAGCTAAACTAGTCTCTTGTCTTGATAACAAATCAAATATAGTTTTCAAAAGTTAACAGTGTGACTCTCTAATGAAAGTCAATAGGATTAAATGTTTCATAAACAGGTATAAAAATGATACTGTGACTAGATTAGTAGTTCAAACTTCAAACTTGAATGAGACACCAAATTAAAGGATTATATATGATGGAGATTTAGCCTTAAAACTACTATAAAAGTTACACAGGCCAATACTTACTGGCTAATTTATAACCACGAAGTGTGACTATGAACTAATTCATTCATTCCGATATTATTTTTCAGCTGTGATGGGGGATCGTTTTATTGCACAAGACATGACGTTTGAAAATACGGCTGGACCCGCAAAGCATCAAGCGGTGGCTCTCCGATCCGGGTCGGACTTTTCTGTGTTCTACCGTTGCGGTTTCAAAGGATATCAGGACACACTGTACGCATATTCCAAACGTCAATTCTACCGCGATTGTGACATTTCTGGGACCATAGATTTCATCTTCGGCGATGCAGTCGTGGTCTTCCAGGGATGCAACATCAACTTGAGGCAACCGATGAGCAACCAGATAAACACGGTGACGGCTCAGGGGAGATCCGACCCGAATGAAAATACCGGGATCATAATCCATAATTCTCAAATCTCCGGGTCTGGAGTGTCCGTCAAGAGTTATTTGGGTCGCCCATGGCAAAAGTGTTCACGTACTGTTATTATGAGGTCTGGCATCAGTGGCGCGATCGATGCCGCCGGGTGGTTCCCGTGGTCCGGCAGTTTTGCTCTGAGCACTTTGTATTATGCTGAGTATGCAAACACCGGAGCCGGTGCCGGAACCGGAGGGCGGGTCAAATGGGGTGGCTACCATGTTTTGACTAGTCCTGCCGATGCCCTGAAATTTTCAGTCGGAAATTTCTTGGCCGGAAATTCATGGATACCATCCACCGGTGTGCCATTCACGGCTGGCCTCTAATTCTGTGTGAAAACGGTGGTGTATCAGTCACATCGACATGGTTAATTTCTTCTCTTTTCCGTTGTTGAATCATGAAAGGAATAGACTAGCATAAAGCTTGGTTGATCAAATTAATTGCAAATGTAATCTTAAATATTCATAGTTGAAGGTTAATCCTCATTGTAACATATTCATTAAGAAATTATAAATGCAAGTATATCATTTTTGGCAAAAATCCTAAGTTTTTATTGATTAATTATAACACATGACGTGTCAGGATTCACGGTATTAATTGTTAATGAAATAATTTATTTCCGAAATGTTTTACAAACCAAATCATGGGGTCATTTGCATCGAGAAATGATTCTTATAACCAAAAATATATATATATACATTTCTTTTATCTAAAAAGTGTGGATATATATCTATTAGTCTGCGTGGAATGTTAATAAGTTTAATGTAGAGGGGACATGCATGGATGTTGACCCTGCAAAACCAATATCAATAATAAACTCATTTTTAAACTATATTTATGATCAATAAAACATTAATTTGATGTTAAATGGAGTTGTATGTGCGCCACACATTCATCGGAATTATGGTCTTTGAAGACGGCAATGAAAGGAATATGCATGCATAGCATAAAAGAACAAAGTAAAAGAACAAAATAAAAGAACAAAACGTGGGATGCACTTTCAATTTCCTTGCCTTGCAAGTCTTGGTCTTAATTCCCAACTAAAGCCTCACCACAGGTTTCTTATAATGTAAAAACCTCAAAAGTTAGACTGACTTAGTACTTTAATTCAATAATTCTCATCTAAAAATCGACATCTCATTGTAATTTCTAATACTATCATTATGCATGGTTTCTAACACATACTGAATAAAAGAATATCTTCAGGACGGATTGATTTGAATAAATTAGCACATCCATATGCATAACACAGTACTATATATAATTACTGTATACATATCTAGACTTACTGTAGGCAAATTAATTACTTGTGTTATCAACCTTGTGGTTATAAGGAATAGGTTGGGAAGGTAAAAAATGGTAAAGCATTGTAATCACTAGTTTCAGAATTTTGGTCTAGGACTAAGATGTGAAAATGTATCGTAACAATGGAACTTGGTTTATATGAAGTTGCTAGTCGTGGAGAACTAGGACATTAAAATTCTTTTCTTATTAAAAATTCATCATAGTACAACTCTTTAATTTCTTTTAAGGATGAGAGAATGAGTGACTAGTTAATTAGTTAGCTTAGCTCTAGCTGGAGGCTAGAGCTAGCCCTGTTCCTTTACAGTCTTGGCCTGGAATTAAATGAAGTAAACAAATAAATAAGAATCAAGTTGCTTCAATAATGAGTATTTTCTTCCAAACAATATGTTCAAAATCCCTCAATATCCAAAATGAAAAATCTCAAACATATAGACTACACTAAAGATCTCAGATTGAAGACCATAGCTTGCTTCTAGCTAAGAATTTCGAGATTACAATCTTAATGCCTCGTCACTTTCACGGTTACTTCCCAAGCTTAAATTCTAATACGAATGCGTGGTTACAAAATAATTAGATTACTGTATACTTATCATATAATGCAATGCTTGTATCCCATAATGTAGAAGGTCAAATTAATCAAGGGCACCATCATCAATGACTCAATAGGGATCGTTGGTTATGACATGACTAGGGGAAGTCATTTTCGTATTTTGACTAAAATAAACCCATGTAAGTGGCAAAGGCAAGAAAAAATGCGTGGGACAATTTGCCTATAGGATTAAAGGGAAGATATTCTGTGTGGCTAAGGACATGCGCATACCCAACAATGGTAGGGTTCTAACACCATATTCCCAAATTTTTCATATTAATTCCAACAAACATCAATTTATTCGTGGAAATTTTGGCTATTTGTATTAGATTGTGACATTACCCCAATAGGAATAGGAATATGCATAAATAATTGACGTGGAATTTTGAAAGACGTTGAAATTTTGGGAAGTTCAAACTTCAAGCCTCTCATTATATTCTACATTAATTGGAGTCCATGATTGTTATGCATGAATTTCGTGTAAGCAAATTGCTTATTGGAAGCTTTACTATTGGTTATTTATGTTCTTTGGAGGAGGACTAGACCAGACGAATGGTTTTTTGATGTGTTGGCCGATTTAACTTTTATCTCTTGGAAGGAACCGATTGACTGCGCTGCAAGGAAGCCCACAAAGAAGAATGAGTGGTGTCGGGATTTTTTTTGTGTAATCAAGTCTTTGAATTATAAGTTGATGAATCAATTAACCAAGAAAATAAGTTAATGTGGTCGATCGATAGAAAGGGAGATCCAATTACAGTTTGAGAACTGCTCTTGCTGAACGACATTTTATTTGGCTGGATATGTTCCGGTCACATATAAAATAGATTACGGTCAACAATGATAAAATATTTGTTTGGAGAATTTTGTCTCCTAAAAGAAACTTACACTTAACTTGAATTTGGATTAGTTGAAACAAAAATTTCAGACGTAGAATACATAATGTACTTTAAAAAATAATACATCTTTAATTTTTTAGATAGATTCAATAAAAGATGTCAAAATCTAAATATTAAAGAACAAAACACTATTTTGTAAAACATATGAGTTATAAATATTGTCGAAAAGAGTTGTAGATAAGGGATATCAAAATTTATTGGGACACGCAAAGTGTTACATTTTTATTTTTTTATTGTCTATAGATGGGAGTAAGGGTTTGATCCTAGCTATGTATTCCCATCTCACATACTTAAATACAGATCGTTTTAAGATTTCAAGACAAATTAAAGATTAACTGCCCAACTTTGTCTCCAATAAATTATTCTAACCATTTTTCATCTAGTTTTAATTATAGCTCCAAAACAATTAATGATAGACAAAATAGACATTTAACACACAAATTAATTATAAAATGATTGTTTTCTTAGTTTACGTGCAAGCCTAAAGTGACTTATATTTTAAAATAGAGGGAGTATAATATTTGAAGACTGTAATTCAATGAAAAACCGAACTTTGGTCTTAGAGCGTACCCTAGATATGTTGGACTAAGTTACTTGTGTCATCATCAAGGTTTAAAAGCATGGGCACGCAAATAAATTAATTTGGATTAATCGATCCAATTGTTAGAAAATACTCACAGATAAATTAATTTGTATCCCCCATTGCTAGCTTTGATGGCGATTTCTCCACTTTTTTTTTAATAGATGTCCCCGAAGGAACTCTTCCTCATCTCCTTATTAATTTGTCAAATAAACCACGCCACAACTACTTTTCATCGCAATCTTCCCCTTAAGGCACCATTAAGGTATTCACTTATTGTTCATATTACTCAATCTGACAACTAAATGTTGCTTTTAAGAAGGTTTAGTCAATGTAGAAAACCCCCTTAATCTTAACTTCCAACCAAAAATTGACGATCAAATCAGGCATCAGCTGTGCCCTACCTTAAAAGCAATCAAACAAGCAAGAAATTTTTTGATTGATGATAATTACTTAATTAACAAGCTTCCAATCTTAATCCAGTATGTTCTATTCTCACCAATGAGATCAAACCACTTTACTTAATAGGTTGATAAGACATTATCAATCAAATCAATAGGTTTGAATGTCTAATCGAAACTAATTCTAAAGCTAATTTTCGTTTGTGCATGAATCTGGTTCGTTAATGAATTACTCCAAAAAGTATTAAAAATTTTAAACATTAATTGCACTTATTCACGGTTACGGTCATTATTATTTTCTTGATAAGTAATAAAGGATAAGCCCTTAAAGAGGTATCTAATATCCTAATTAACTATCGACTAGTTGTCCTACTTTTGACTTTAAACAAACAAATAAGACTTGTCCCAACTATTGAACGGCTAACTTTGTAGCTCGGGGACTAATTCTAGAGGGGAAAATTAATTGTTAAATGTCTATTTTGTCCATCATTAACACACATTTAACACACAATTTTTTTTTAAAGAAAACATACTCCATTAAGATTACTGGAAATGGTCCAGCACCATTTGATACAAGAACAGACCGTCTAAAATGACGTACTCGAACCGTCCTAACAACGTACTCATGGTACTAATCACTGCACCAGTGACTAGACCAAAAAAACTGTCAAAAGGAAAAACAATCCCATAATGACATAATTCTATTGTCGGACATATCACGGAACAAAATAAAATTCTGAACTCGAATATATCACTAATCCGCAGACTGAATCACAAATTTATCATCATGAACGACGAACAGCACACATCAAATTCGGACTCGACCAACGGACTCGGTTCCATTGACACACTAAATTCACTCAGTAAAGAATCAATCCGAGATCTATACTGAGGGTGGGTTATCCCACTTAATTGAATTAAAACACTACAATAAAAAAAAAAAAAAACCAAATCCGAACTGACATAGACTCCATCAGATCAGGAATGCAGCGGGAGGGTGGCAAAGGTGGATGCGGCAGAGGGTGGATATGGGCGGCAGAGGGGGGCAGATGATGGATCCGGACAGCAGAAGGGGGTTCCGGCTGTTTGAATGCCATAAAGGTGGGGTGGCAGTAACCGCTTCGCCGGAGGGCGATTTGGAGGTACTGGTGGTTTTGGCGGTGGTGCAGGGGGTAGATCTGGAAGAGGTTTCAGTGCCGAATGTGGAACTAGACTTGGTGATAGAGAAAAAAAGACAACTCCCCCAATCACCATTAAAGGAGATTGGGTGAGGAGGAAAATTTCGGTAGGAGATTGTTTAAATTTAACACACAAATTAATTATACTTATCGTGTATTCTAATTAACTTTTTTTTCGATTTTATATTTTTGTGTGGAATTGTTATTATAACGAGGTCGAAGGATCGATACATCGCTAGAGCTATCTGCGTAAGAGAGTTAAACTTGTACGAATTTGAGATATACATGTCAAAACCCTCGAAACTTTCAATTATAAGTTTTAAAGAATTATAACTCAAAAATGGACACTTTTGAAGAAAGAAACTCATGATCAATAATACAGTCACGCCATGAGCGACTTATTGACTTAAACTGGATCAAACAGTTTAATGATTCAAACATCTGAGGTGGAATTCATACAAGGACCACTGAAGTGGAGAAAAGGTGAATTTGAATTTGACTAATGATTGATAATTAAGGTTTGTATGGCTGGCATGATTTGAGATAATTGACCCCAAATTTGGTTTTCTAATTGCGCTGAAATTATTGCAAATATTTTCATGGCTTATAATCCAAATTCCCAAATTAATGAGATTATGCTCTTGCTTTCCAAATTGACGTGCATGGGTCTCCAGCAGACTATAAGGTTTATGGATGAAAATTGTTTGCCACGAAAGATTGAGGAAATTAGTAGAAAAACAATGCCTAGAACTGGTAAGCCATTGCTTTCATGCATGCAGATTATGACTGAACGAAGAGATGATGAGAATGTTATTCAATATTTGTTTCTGGAAAGGATGGTTCAACAATTGGTTTGTTTGTTTGTTTGTCTTCGGCAGCCTTTTTGGATAATCTATTAATTAAAAAGTATACACGGAAATAGAAATATTACGAAAAATATGTGATGTATTCTGAAAAATTTGCCAAATCAGCTTATGAATTTATATCTTTTTATACTAAAATTTATTATATATCTCTGCTTTTTTCTTCTTTTTTTTTTTTGATGAAAATCTCTGCTAATTATAGAAAAGGGAATGAGATGATCGCACTTCACAGTTCATAACCTAGCTCCATCAGTGAGTGTGAACGTAATATTCGAATCTGCTATGCCAACTCAGACCCTAGCCACATCTTTATGCACCTCATTACCAAATCAAAGTTTCAAGCACCCCCTTCGTAATTTCGTGGCTCTAATTACTTGAAAGGAAATTGTAAGAATTGTGATAGATTGAGGGCAATTTTTACGAGTAATGATGATCTCCTAGATGTCAATTTTTTTCGAACTTTTGGTACTTTATTCGTACATTTCTTTTTCGTTTACTAGCTCTTCATTTCGATCTAATCGATCGGTTTAAGTCATCCGTCCAATCCAAAATTGATAGTGTTATTTTGTTTTGATTCAAAGATTATGACTCGCTTTTTACAAGACAAGAACAGTACTTTAAAATTGAAGCTGATAACAACCGCAAGAGTTTTCACAATCGGGACTCTCTAGACTTGGTGGATTTAATTGAAGATCAAGTAAACTTCAACTTTCAAATATTTGTGGTGGTGGGTGAAGGAACAAAAAGAAAAGTGCTTGTAATGTCAAAATTGCCACATCCTCAATGGAAGATTCTGAGTATTATAGGGTACAGAGAAAATACGGGCTTGGTACTACGGCTACTTCATTATTACAACATGAAAGAGCTTCACGAAGATGATGATAATGATGATGACGACAATTTTAAGCACAGTTTAAAGTCGCAATGCGACGTTCGAGTAGTGTCAAGTTAGTCATAGTCATCGTTTAAACTCTAAAATGACTTGCACTCGCATGATGAAAAGATGCAAATAGCTCCGTCCGAAAACATATATTCCCTCCGTCTCATTTTAATAATATATTTAAACAAATTTTAATTCAACCAACAAGATGAAAAGGGACGGAACCAAGGAGGGATACATCATTTCTTGAATCGTCAGTAAACACCCATTTTTTATTTTTTTGTTTAACAAAAAAAAAAAAAAACAAAAAGCTTTTCTTCTTACTAGATGCAATAAGAAAAACAAAAAGGGAAAAAAAAAAAAAAAAAAACTGAAATAGTAGATACACAAAATGTTTATCAATCCACTAGCGAAACCGAAAGCAAATTCAATAACTAATCCTCATATTCTTGCTCCCTCTGTCCCGCCAAGCAAGACAATAAGTTTGAGCCAAAGGAAGTGAAAAAAACTACACAGCCTATCCCGCCAAACAAGACAATTATTTTAGCTAAAGAAGTAAAACAACCTCCTGTTGCAGCCATCAAATAGGATTCGTTAGCGCGGCTATGACCACATATTACTGAATTTAGCTCAACAATATGAATTACGAATATATGATCGTACAAATTTCTTTTGACATTCATTGAAGATCTTTATATTATCATATAAGTCACTATTTCAGATTCGGTTTCACATATTTTGTAGCATCCGAGATTTAACAAGCAAAACTGGAATTCATCAATACTCCGCAAAACATGCTCATCAAATTTGTCCAATGTTTTACCACATGGATTCGTAATAGAGCTACGACCAGATTGGTGTTAAAGACAGTAAAGTGCATCTTATTATGTCGCAGTAGGTAACAAAAGCTCATGTATGGAAGCCGCATTGTGAGCAGTAAATTCTTATGTAATAACGGTCGGTGCTGATCGGCCAGTGAATTCTGCCATCTTGGAGAGCTTAATAGCAACTTCCACCTGCGGCAACATAGCAACAGTTTTTGAGACAATGGAGGAGCATGGGTGACAACAGACGTGATTCAACTCAATACTAGTATATATGTGATAAAGTGAAGTTGCAGGTATCTTACCAGAGGAGCGAGTGCGTCTTGAGAATCTCTGCCGGTTTTCGATGGATCCTTCTCATATTGCTCAATGTAGACGCGGATAGTGGCGCCTTCTGATCCGGTTCCAGAGAGACGGAAAACCTGTCAACACATCCATTTATGGGAGACCTCATCAATATGGGAGTATATCCATCAACTCAACCATTTCAGTAACCAATGTGATCCGAGAATTCACCAAGTAGTATCACATTTTCTTCCAAGGAAAATTGTACAAACATTTCAGGAAACAAGGTGATCTGAGAATTCACCTAAGTAGTATCACATTTTCTTCCAAGGAAAATTGTACAAGGAGGACACAGACTACTTACCAATCGAGAACCATCTTCAAAAAGATAGCGGATTCCCTGGTGTTTAGAGATGGAACCATCAACTGGATCTTTATACTCAAACTCATCAGCATTGACAACATTTGAAACATCTGGACGTATACCCTTTATGATTCTGCAATTATAAAATAGCATAGATTTATCGTAAGAAAAGGCATCAGGTAAACAAGACATGCAATACCGCGTGTTAGTAGTAAATAAACCTGCATCAGCACTCCAATTTGAACCTTGAACAGTTTTTTCAAAATCACAAGCAAACAAGGAACAACACAAACAAGATACTATGTTACTGGCAGATCTTTCACAATATTGGTCTTGCCAACTCTAAAGACTACAAGTCTCCTAGTTCCAAAGTTAACAAAACCACCATGACTACAAGCAGATATTGCTCAAATCCTACGCATGAATGATGAGAACAAATACACATGAGACATATGTGAGTGAGTGTGTGTGTGTATGTGAGAGAGAGAGAGAGAGAGAGAGAAAGAGAGAGAGAAAGAGAAATATACCCATTCACTTCACTGAGGGACGACTGAAGCTTGACCAAGTGTGCCATTAAATCCTTGGCACCACCTGCATCAACATTCTAATAGAAACAAAAGAAATCCACATTCAGACACAGCCCATTGATACGCAATTTTTCAGCGCATTAACTAACTAGCATGTATAAAGCTCATGTATTCATGGATTTCATCATGTATATTCATACCTCATAATCATATCGTGTGTAATAGTGGCGCCCATACTTGGCCCAATGCTGCCGAACAATGTCTTCAACAGTGACAAGTTTCCCACCTCCCAAGTTGTCCTTGTTTTTGTAAGCAAGTATAGATAACCAAGCTAAAACAGCCCAGATTCCATCTTTCTCACGTATGTGATCCGAGCCTATCGATCAAATAGATGGGATGCGGTAAGTTATCAATGCGTTTTTGGTAGATACAAAAGTTCAAGCTATTTTTTTCCTTCAGTTAATGAGATTCAGCAATGGTGCGTACCAGTTCCGAAACTTTCTTCACCACAGACGGAACACATTCCAGCATCCATCAAGTTACCAAAAAATTTCCAACCAGTAGGAACCTTTAGAAAAGAAAGAACAAGACCGCCTTAAAAAAGGATACACATTCAAGCAACCAGTAAGGAATGAATGAGAACAATGATACGCACCTCAAAGAATTTCAAGTTGAGATGCTTAGCAACAACATCAAGAGCAGCAGAAGTTGGCATACTCCTGCAAACAAAGAGACAATGAACATCAGCGAACAGTTTAAATAAATGACAGATCTGGGTTTTGCTTGCACAGGAACACAAACAGTCTGAAGAACAATTGTGCATTTACGTAGCTAGGAGAAAGATTTTGAAAATGCAAAAGAAAAATCAGGCACACCCATGCATATTGACAAACAAGAAGCAATGAACCAAATCCAAGACAGACCTGGCAACTCCTTTTAGACCACCAGAAAAGTAAGGAATGGCTTCAACAGCATTTGCCGCGATAATAGCAACAGAATCAGATGGAGTGACGAAGAACCTGTTAAAGAGAATATTAAGTTTTCATGCAGTACTTCTATTAAATGCGGGATCTTTGGAGCCAAAACAAATGCAAAAAGGTACCTTTTCCCCAGGACCATATTACGGTCAGCATCTCCGTCAGCAGCAGCACCAAATTCTGGTGGGTCACTTTCATTAGTTTTACCCAGTCCCATACGTGCAACTAGCTCTTTTGCATAGGTAAGATTGGGATCAGGGTGACCTCCACCAAAGTCCTCCTGCTCAGATGCAATCGCAAAAAAAGGTGTCAAAATTTGTGTCTTTTGTATTTTAGGAAAAGTAGAGACCATAATAGAGCCTCTAGTTGGCAAAAATTTGGCTGCAGAGTAGTTTCGGAGACCTTAGGTACACAATTCAAGAGAGAGCTTTCTTTAGCACCAAGCTCTTCAACAAAAATTCGTTTGGCATATACACCAGCCACCCCATGAAGAGCATCATAACTGCAGCATAACACATAATTTTAAGCATGGAAAAGATCTTTGACAAATAAGATGAAAGTAAAAATTGTCCAACCCGGAAGAGTATGAGTTACCAGAATGTAAAGTTTGGAGATGCGAGCAACTTCTGGATAGATCCAAAATCAAAAATGGACCTACAATGAGATCACAAAGAAATGTTTACTTTAGTATAGAGATCTTAAAAAAACAATAGGACTGAATGATCCAGAAACAAAATACACTACTAGTCAGGTTTTTGCTACATAACTCATGTCACCTTTGTGTCTCATAACAGATGTTCTAATTTAAGTTTAAATAAGTGAAGTCCTTCCTGTTGTCTACATTCAACTTCATAAAGGATTTCCCTTCTCCCTTTAAATTAAAGTAATCTATGTCATCTGCTCATTTAACAGGCCATTTAAAGATCTATTGGACATAGGCCAAACTCCGATAGGTGAAGAAATGGCAGCAGATGTGTTAATAAGAGTGTGATCCATATGCAACAGGGCACTAAATTATTCCACAGAAACGAAAACATACTTCATCAGTTTCACATATTCACTGGTGGAATCAAAAACATCAACATCAAACTGCCCCTCTGGACCAGAAAAGGTGGTCACGCCTACTGTACTAATGTCCACCTGAATAAAGGGGGAACAACAAAGAAGCAGTTAGAAACACAGGGTACATAACCCACTAGCAAACAGAAAGTTTTAGGAAACTGAGTCATACATCCGGTAGCCCTTCTGCAATTAAGTACTCTTTTATTGTTGTTGTATTCTGATAAATCTTATCTGTAACTGATTCTGGAGCAGGGCCCCCATTTTCCATGTTGTATTTAATTCCAAAATCCTGCAACAGAAACAATGAAGATGGGTGAGATATCAATTTTAACCACCGCGGTAAAGTCACCATCCACCCTAAAATGAAGTACTTTCATTACACTCCTAAGACCTTCAAAATAACAGATTGCGATTAGTCACGAAGAGATGATTATATACTTTTTCCTCAGGCCTCTATTGTTTCATTCGAAGCACTTCTATCAGGAATCCAACATTCTACCTTAAATCACCCAAAACTTTTTCTTTCTTTGTTTCCTAAAACAATTGTCCATTTAAGCAAATATATTACTTTATAAATACAAAGCCCTCACTTCTTTACATTTCTATCTTCTACTTTCCTATCACCTCTTCAGTCCAAAATATTCAGGGCAAAACAAATACCGCTCAAACATGACACAGGAACATCCATATTTCAGTTCCCTCTTAAAAGGACAATGAAAAGCTCTAGAAACAGTTAATGGGGAAAAGAAAACTCCAGAAATATGTTAATTTTCATTTCTTTTTATAATGTCTTACCTTACATAAGCTAAAAACAACTAAATATGTTTCTTCTAACAACTCTTCTAACAACGTTAATTTTCTCTAGCACATACACTTCTAATTCAAATATCAGGTACACCACACAACATGTTTTTCTTCTTCTTCTTCTTCATGATGACAGCCATTATGTAAATGTAATGGATAATGGTTCATCCAGGGAATATTTTACAGAGAATTTTAACAAGGAATGAATCATAACCATCCATTCTTATACCTTTCCTTTAGGGGTTTATCCATTTAAGGGTTAGGGGATAGTTAAGATTTAGACACCTCATTCCCTATAAATTTCCTTGTCAAATTTTCCCTGCATGTATCACCACTCATATGTAATATCCGCTTCACCTCAAGCTTTTAAATATTCATAACAGACGAAGAAGCAGAAGGGGAATATGGAAGAACAGATGCCTATCTCTCTCACAAAAAATCACCACAGATCATTGATGGACATGGAGTCAAACAAGCCCGCATGGTAGTACAACAACAACTACTACACAGTATATTCCCAACTTCAATGGGGTCTAGGGGGTCAATACGTACGCAGCCTTAACCCTGTAATTTCAATACAGAGAGGCTGTTTTGAATACTACCCAAGATGCAGTGGTGCATTTGCATGGCAGTATAACTACTACCAAAAACATTAGTTTTCCAAATAGTCCCAGAAACCATTTCCTTATAAAATTACCACAAACCATATGGAGGAGAAAGATTACTTGCACCAGCAAATAAACCGAACAAATGCTTCTAGTTAAATGTTTTATGTAATGAGAATATACTGATATAACAAAAAAATAAGCCCACAACTAACCTCATGAGGACCACCAGGGTTGTGACTTGCTGTCAATATGAATGCTCCATTTGCTTTAGATCCCTTCATTCAATTGGAAGAAAAGAATATGAATGCTGATCAAAATAAATCACAATTGTCGTCATTAAAAAACCAGAGAAGGGACAAAAATTTTGAAATATTTACATCAGCCGCCACTCTTTCACGGATAACAGCTGATACAGCAGGAGTTGACAGCAATCCGTTTTGACCAACCCAAATACGTCTTACTCCATTGGCAGCTGCCATTTTAATAATGATCTGCAATGTAAAATAGTATTTAGAGCAGTCATAGTAGACTGAGTAGCTACAATCATTTATGTTATGAAGTAAAGAATAGACTTGAGGCAGGAGGAACAACTCAGCAAAACTCAGCCAGTAGTCAATTCAACCAAAAAAAAATTGAGAACTTGCAACCAACATACATAGGCATCTTTGCAAGCAAAATGTGCAGACAAGCTCTGGAACATACACACTGTTATAAGAGTGAGGTAAAGGGCGTAGGTGCCAGTTTTTTCCCCATGCATCATACTCGTAATATACAATACAGAGCTGGGCAAGGAAATTAAAACTCCAAACAATCAAAGAATGAGAAAGTACAAGGTAAACCATCAAAACCCTTTTGAATTACACCGGCAGGTATGTTACAGATATGAAAAATAATTGACTAAAAGCGAGGGCAAATGACTAGATAAAGCTATTCAAAATTCCTGATAATCCTAGTCAACAAGTCAAATGCCAAACAATATTCTGGATATACACCTGAATTGCATCCTTTGAAAAATAGCGGCCATCACCAGAAACAACAAGTGTAGCACCTGCAAGATGAGTTTGAGTGAAATAAAGAAGAGGATTACTGGATAAAACCATATATATAAGTCCCAAACATAAGAATTCACAATCTGCACAAATTTAGTTTCAAAAAATAATAATAATAATAGAAAACTGCTCAATACCTTAAACAAGAGCAGTCATAGAGGCATATCATAGAAATACAAAAAATGATCAACAATCTAAACTTACCCCTGACTTTATCATCTCCGAGGGCATAGAATGTCGATTGGACAAAGTTATGCAAGTAATGGGGTTGTGTAAAGACCTTCACCTGGAATAGCAAACAGAAAATTTCATTGTTCAATCATAAAAATAGATCCACTTAGCATCTATCCAAGTTATGACTTGACAGCCTACACTGAGAACTAAACATCAACCAAAAGGCCCAATAACAGCATTCCCGTGCACAACTCATAGCTTTGAGCTGACACGAAGAATGATTTTCCTCCTCTTATCAAGTTACTTTGAAAACAGCAGTTGGTTTGAAAAAATGTAGAGCCTTATAACATAATTAAACCATTTCCAGCCATCAAAACTCAGCATCTTGTCAACCCAATGTTCTAAGATCCAACCCATGATTTGAGAAGTACCATGATCTTGACAATTGAAATAGTGAAGATTACATTTCTTCTGGATTGATATGAATTCAAGGAAACAGACTCTAATCAGATGTTCGAGAATGCAACAAGTGGCTAAATAGAAAGAACCATCTTATCAATTACAAAAAAGTGAATTTACAGTCAGTGATTCAAGCACAAAATAATCTACGGAATCACAGAATTCCATCATCCACGCATTGATCCCACAGATACATACTTTAACTACCTAGATCCGAGCTCTAAAAAAGAAAAAACTTAATGAAAATAATAAAGAGAAACCCAACCAAACATCACGATTAGTAAAATGCAATTCCAAAGGCAGATCGCAATCATTGAGCATACGCACACGATTGAATCCCACAGCACCAGTCAGTTAGCATAGGAAACGAAAAAAGATCGAATCAATCAATCATAACAATCAAAATTGAGACGAGAAAAACAACATCGCAATTTGAAAATCATCGAAACCAGAAAAAGAAAAGAACGCGAAAGAACCTTCTTCCTAAGACCAGAAGTGCCAGGCTTCTGGCCATCAAACGGCTTCGTTTGAACACGAGAGACCTGGAAAACCACCATGTTTTTTTGTTTTTCACTCTTTCAAGCTCTTCCGAATTCGCTAACTGCACAAATCACAAACAGTTTTTATTTCTGTATAATTTTTAGTTTTTACTTCACTGTATTTGATTTTATCCCCTGAATCGAGACTGTTCATCTATATATGATGAAAGTGCAGTGTGTGAGTGTGTGAGAGAGAAACACCACGTGGCACATGCGTGATTGTAGATTGATTAAGGAGGTATTTGCTTTGCTTACAACTGAAAGATAGGAGGACGACGAAGACGAACCGACCAGATGCGATCCAGAGAAGGTGACGAATGTGAGATTCTAAATTCCAAATTTTACAAATACTGGGGAAAAAAAAAAAAATAGAAGTTGATGAGTAATAAATACTCAAAAATAAATATTAAATAAAAATATATATAAAGCCCACAAGAAAGAATATTTAGTCAGATACCGTTTAAAATGTCCGGTTTTCTTTTTACGCTGACGGCTTTTTCTTTTCTTTTGTTTTTACCATTTTCATACTGTATATTTATTTTGGATTCTTTCCAAATTGATTTTCTCTCGCAGAATCTCCAGTCATAGTCATCCAACTGTTCATCTTTCGAAGAAGGCAATTCTGGGTTCCCCAACAATCGTCTTCGTCTCTTTTTGGTGCCCCTCCGGTTGGGAGGGAGGTGAGTAATTCTTTGCATTTTCATCGTCTTTCGCCGCCGGTGAAGTGTTTCTTTAGTGACTGTTTCCAGTTCTGTGTTTTGATGCTTTCATACGATTCTTGCTTTCATGGTTTTCGTATCAGTTAGTGATGGTTAATTTATTGATTGCGTGTTATGTGTTTGAAGTTAGGTCTCTGTTAACTTGAATGGATGTGTTTATCCCGGCATAAGCGTCAATGAGCATCCTCTGTCACATTGTTAGCAATCTTTAAAGACTTAAAATTCTGCAAGCTGTCCACTTTTTTCACTTGTTAACAATCATATTTGACTAACATGGCATTGCATTCATTTATAGTTCAGGGTACTATCACTCTGTCACGTTGTCCATCCACTCATTTTAAGTCTTTGCTGGAGACTGGTAAGAGTTGATAGTGATCTTGTCCACCAACCAGAGTCTATAATTTGGTACAAAAGCCTTAAGTTAGCGACCATTAGGTTTTCATCATACTAATGCCTAATACAACAAGAGATTTTAAGTCCAGGAAGATATTGGATTATGTGCCGTTAAACCATAAAAATATAAGCCCATTAGCTTTCATATTACAAGTTGCAGCTACTAGGAGTCGCATACCTTTTGTCATTGCTCTCACTAGCATAATTTGTTATTTAAATTTGTGAAGAAAGTTGAGCTACTCCAAAAGCAATAATATGCATAAGCAAGGCCCGCACGTTTTTTTGGTTAGAGCAGGATAGATACGAGTTGATAATTCCTAAACGAGTCATGACATATACCTTTGATCTTGACAAAGGGATAAGCAAGGCCCGCAAATTTCATCGTGAGATGTTCCTTTCGAGTTACAAAATTGAACCCGCTAAGCATGTGAATTGCAAAGAATATTATGAAGTTTCCTCTACTTCAACATACAGTGGCTCACTTGGAAATATTTGTTTGTTTGTTTTTTCCAGAACTCTTCAAACTGCATTCTAATGAATATTGTAGTACTCACACAGGCAGTCCTTACGCTCCAGTAGTCTAAAATGTTGCTATATCATACACCTCTTCCAAATGATAATCAAAACATAAAGCTCATAAATCCGATTCATGGCAGTACAGTAGATATGGAATATTCATTGGAGAAGGCTTTGAAGACCGTATGGATACTAACAGAGGTCTTATGTTGCTTTCTGCAAGATAAGTGGTAAAAATCCACAGTGAAATAGATCAGTGGAAATTTGTGTAGTGCTGAAAAAGGTAGCTCTGTTGTGACCATTACTGGTTTCTATTGCTTCTCTTAACTTTGAGTCCTGGGAAATTGATTATTGTGTGGTGAACCCAAACTAATATGGGTAATAGAATGCGTTCATGAAATGCTGGTTATGAGACACAAGCCTTAGTTTTTTTTTTTTTTTTTGTTTATGAAATGCTGGTAATGAAGACACAAGCCTTAATTTGTTATTTTACACATTAATTAGCATTGCTATCAACTCAGAAAGGGTGTTCTTTAGTTATGTCTCGAACTGGACTGTACCATAGTGTGTGTTTTCTTTATTTAAGATAAAAGAGGTCGAATTCGTCACTGAAAAAGATAACGAAATAAGGCCAAAATTTAATTAGTAAGTATGAAAAATTCCAGATTTCTAACCATAATTTAGCTTTCTCATCTACAGACCTCACTAACTGTCTCCACGCACCCCGCCTGTTCACAATATCTCCGGGCTTCCATCTCCGAGCATTAACAATGGCTTCAAAGACTCCACTTCAAATCTTATCCAAGTTGGTCAAGTGAGTCGATATTTTGTTTCAAATGCACTGTCTCCCTCCCTATGTATAGCCTATCATTTTGTTGATTGACAGTTCCTTGTACTCTCCTTCTTTGTGGATTTCAGATAAACTGTGCTCCTCTATTTTCTAACAAGGAACAAGAACCGTTTTAATGCATAAAGTTAAATTGTTCTCTTCTCTATTTTGTGACAAGGAATAGCAATGATTTTGAGTGCATGAATCATAGTTATGGTTTTGCATAGGTTTCCCCTGTTTCTTTTCTATAATGATTATGCCAGGTTGAACAAATTTCCTAGTGGATTATTTTTGGTCGAATTGGATCTTTAGTCACATCACATCTGTTTGGCAGTGGATGAGGACCCCAGTGTGGATGACAATGCAGAAACTGTCAAGAGCGCAGATGGAAATGGTCATGTTAGCAGCCTTGAGAATTCAAATGTGGAACCAGACATTGGCATGGAGTTCGAGTCTGAGGAAGCAGCAAGAGTATTTTATGCTAGATACGCTACACATTTGAGGTTCCACATAAGAGTTGACAAAGCTCGATATTCTGAACAGGATGGAAAGTTAATTTACCGCGCATTAGGGTGTAATAAACAGGGTTTCCGAAGGTTCAGACCAGGGGTCATGAAGCCTAAACCAGTGACTCGAGAAGGGTGTAAAGCAACAGTTGTTTGGAGAGAGAAGACTGATAAATGGGTCGTTACCAAGTTCATTAAGGAGCATTGCCACCCATTAGTTGTAACACCCACACCTGCTAAAACTTGTCAAGCGACGCTCCTAAGTCAAATTCCGATTAGTCAAATGTCGGTAAGTGTCCTATAGCTATTAAAAATTCTGTTGGTAAGTTCAGGATCAACGAATTTCCTCATTTGATCAGTGAATTTTCCCTATTCTTAATGGTCTCGTAACTCCTAAATGTGTGATAGGTATCTTAAAGCTTTTATAAAATTGACATCAGTTCTACTGCAGGTGTTGTCATTGATTAGATTATGATATTTGGTACTTTGATTTGTTTATGGTGATGATGAATATGCACTCACTTTTATTTATCTGAAGTTATGTGTTCTCGTAGGCCATGTGATTTGTTTTGTTTAGTTTTATTTTCCTGCCCTATATTTTCTTTCTTACTGGCGAGTATAGTACAGAACCAATTTCCTCACAGAATTGCTGTTCTGATCTTAGATTTCCTTCCGAAATTGCCTTACCTTGTTGAGTAGTACTAACTATTTCCTCACTTTGGTGATGGAAAACTTGGTTGCATTTGCATGGTTTGGCTTTCTTAAATTTGTGATTCTTAGTATGCCTGCTGATACTCATTACTTTGTGATTCATCGGCTTACGAAGGTTTGTTTGCTTGCATCCCTTTGGTAGGATGATAAAGATCTCATGATCCGGGAATTGACAGCTGAATTGCACAGAGAGAGGAAGCGATCTGCAGCCATCCAAAGAGTGCTTGAAACAGTTTTAACAGATGTGGAAGAACATTCTAATTATCAACGAGAAGTGTAGAATGTGTGGCCAAGAACTTGAAGGAAATTGAACGAACCAAAGGTATCTTATCCTCAAGCAAATAGACTTATGAGTCTGCTACCTCTTTTGTTTTCTTTTGGATGACATATTTCACTTGGTAGATACTCCTGATTACTGACCATGTCAAATACTCCAGTAGGAAGGATATCAGCTGTAGAGTCAGAATATAATTTTCCTCTAGATAAGAGGACATGAAAATATCAAATGTAAGTAGTAACCTAGTTGAACTGGCTAGCTTCGTGTAGATAGCCACTGATAAGAATTTGGAGTTCCAATTTTTGGATATGTTGGTAACTACATTTCCAATTTGCCTCTGCAATGGTGAAATTCTCTCTTACCATGGATAGTTTTCTCATTGATACTCCGAACTCTCTGCAGTTACTCCTTCCAATCATTATTTTATTAGATATTAGTATATTATTCTAATTGACAATAAAATTTTAAAAATGAATTCTCACATTTATTGTGTTCTTTAAATTATCATACAATATTTTTAAAATTTTATTTTCATAAAAAAAACATATTAAGTTAAATTTAGGACAAATCAAAATAAGATAATAACGAAAAAGGACAGGAGGGAGTTGCCTGCTAATGCTATTATAGTGCTCAAAAAGAGGGAACTTCTGTAGTGTTGATTGCAGGTTATTGTGTCCCTTGAAACATCTCTTTTCCGACTGTATCTTTAACTTATGTAATTTTTACGTAGGTGAGCCTATTGGATAAAATGTCTGTGTTTGTTAAATTTTTTGGCAGTGATGAACCGATTGATAATGCAAAAATTTTACAAAGTGTTATAATCTTTCGGTTCTAAAATCACAGTTCGATTTGTATTTTTATTTTAAATAGTGATTCATTTAATAATCAAGACAATAGTTTAACAATGGTAACTAAAATAATTATTCGGTTTATAATTTTTATTTTCAAATAGTAATGAATAATGATGATAAAAGCAAAATATCTAACATTAATCAGTAAGTGATTTAACAACAAAGCAATCAGTATGAAAGGATGAACAATTATTACAATATATAATCTTATTCTTAATATTACCAGAGAAATACAGTTATTAATTCAAACAAGTGCACCAAAATTCAAATGCTTTTATATCTCCCGCTGAAAACGAATTTCAGCCCGCCAAAGAAAACCGCACTTCCCCGCGCTTTCTACATTTTGACGAGCATTTGAATTGGAATTGAAATTAAAAACGCTCAAAAAGGAAAGCACCAATCCCGTTTCAGATCTACTCCCAAAAGTTTCCAGCCATCCATAATGATGCCTTCTCCCATTAAAGAAAGAAAAAATAAAGCCAAAAAAGCACAAACATATTCAAAGCCTTTCCTCTTTATTTCAATTACCATTATTATTATTATCAACCTCAAAGAATAAAATAAAAGCTCAAAAAGTCAAAAGTGAAAGACTAGTAAAATGGATCTATTCTAGCCCTTTACAAAACTATGTCCTGTCTCAACATTTTTTAAGCGAATATTATTAATTATTAATATATACACCACCACATCTATTTCATCCATACTTATTCATAGAATGTAAATTACTAATAATATTATTCAAATACTCATTTAACTAAATAATTAAAATGGGACGAAAAGAATTAAAAAAATTTTAAAAAAAAAAAAAATTTTGAAGAATTTGCCATAAACTCATAAAAGTAACCGAAATGTAAAGCCTAAACTGCCGCTCCAACATTAAAAATTTACACATACACAGCCAAAAGACGAATTACATTGGTCACGAAAGTCATAACACCACCTAGAAGAAGTCACCCAACTCACAGTCACTCACTCACTCAATGGCCTAAACTAAATTAACCCCAAACTACAAGGACTACAAATTTAAAAAAATGAAGGTAAAAAGGTAAAAAAATAAAAAAAAAGGGACAGTAAGGTAAAAGAAGTAATTAGCAACTATGACCCCTAAATTTGATATCCTCTCTCGATCAAGCCCCTACTGTGGTGGCAGCTGAAGGAACCGGCGGCTTCACCTTCGGCGGCCTTCCTCTTCCTCTCGGAGGCCCAGTAGGAACTGCAACCGGAGCAGCCGCCCCGGTCTTCGGCATCTTGGGCGGTCTACCTCTCTTCCGGCCAGACCCGGCAGAAGGTGGTGGCGCTTCCTTCCTCTTGGGTGGCGCCGCCGGGGCAAGTGGGTCCTTGGACTTAGGTGGCCGGCCACGTGGCCGCGGAGGAGGCGGGACGTACCCAGCCGGAAGAGCCGGCTTGGGCTTCGGCGGACGGCCGCGGCCGCGGCGCGGTGGCGCGTTGGGATCAGGCTTCATGTAGTTGTTCTTGAGGAGAACGAGCTGGCCGGTGGCTTTCATCCGGTTCAGGTGATGGGTTAGCAGAGTGGAGTGAGCCGGCGGGAGGTTGCCGTAGGTGGCTTCGATTTGTCTTGAGATTGAGGATTTGTTTGAACCGTTTTGTTCGTTCAAACTCTCGATGGCTGCCATAATCAGCTGTCAAACCAACAAACAATATGTCAATTTCAGATAGCTAAAAATTACCCAGCTGAAGTATCCAAAATTAGAGATAAAGAATTTTACAGCGAAGTCAAATTTCTGAGCTCACCTCGGGATACGGAGGAAGAGTAGGAACCACCACCGGAGCCGGAGCCGGAGCTTGTTCTGGAGCTGGGACTGGGTTGTTTCCATTGTTAGTTTTGGGATCTTCAGTAGCCATGTAAATCGGGGAAAATCAAACACAAAAAAAATAAAATAAAAGTAAACTCACTAAAATTATTTCTTTTTTTTTTCTTCTTCTTTAGATAAATTCAAAAAATGAAAGTTTGGGATTTTGAATTTAGGGAAGAATGAAAGGAGAGGGAAATTGGGGTGAAGAAAACAATAGGGAAAGTTTGAGATTTAAAGGGGATGAGAATATGGAGGAGATCGGAAATGGATCAGAGGAGTTAAAGAAAAGAGTTCAGTGTTGTTTCCCTTTTTCCGTTGTTTTTTCTTGATATTTTCATCCAACGGCTGGGGTTCTTTGTTGCTGGTTTAATCTAACAGTTGGAGTTGTTCTTCACTTGGATCGATGACATGGCTGTTCTCTTTCTTCCTTATCTCTTTTCGAATATTTTTTATTTAACCAAGCTGAATTACGCAACTGCCCTATGTGTTTTCCGATGTCAATTGATCAGTGATGGATTTTTAAATTTAAGGATAAATTTTCTACTACTTTTTGGGTCCTTTTATTCTTGGTTTGTCTTCATTTCTTGAGCCCTAACTTTTTGATTTCACGCTTTGAGTACCTTCTTCATTATTTCTCTCTCTCTCTCTCTCTCTCTCTCTCTCTCTCTCTCTCTCTCTCTCTCTCTCTCTCTCTCTCTCTCTCTATATTTTTCCTTTTGTTTTTCCATTATTTACATCAAACGGGTAAAAAAGAAATCTGAAATATATTTTATGATTACGAGTTCAAGTTTATGTGTAGAAATAGTGAACAAAGTAATTTTTGCCAAAATAACCTTAGCCACTGTTGTACAATTCATGAACTAGTTTATATATTCTACAGTAGCATTCAGAAAAAAAAAAAAAGTGATACAACTTCAAAAAATTATGTTGATTATGCGAATAATTTATTAAAATTTTTGTGATTTCGATAAGTATATATATATATATGTATTAGATATTACATAAGTACTAGTCCAACTATGATTTCTATTTCCTTGTTTAAAATCCAATCATTTATTTATATATCAATATGTAGTAATCAAAATAAATTTATTTTTTGGACAGGAGTATTAGAATTACAAAAAGAAAGAGACCAAAAGGGCAATTTGAAACTTTTGATTTGACTGACCAGATGGACTTAAAACGACGTGTCGGTCTATCATTGATTATGAGATTTGATGATTAGACACCTAAGAATAACCAATGTCGTTTTTAGTAGGGAACAGAGGATTTGGAGTGAAGATAGCCGCAGTGAATTAACGTGCAAATTTAAGGGATCAAATATAAAATCAAAAAGCTTAGCAGCATGCGAGTGCGTGAGGGGAGGAAAATTATGGGACCCCACTTGGATAACGTGAGGGAGCATTGTCGCTGCAGCAGGGAGTATCTACTGTTGTAGGCCCTAAAATTCTATTGGTTCGCTGTCGTTGACCTCCAAGTTTGACTTTTGTGTTTGTCTGCTGCATTCGAGATGTCATCAAGCTTTGGCTAATGTCATGTCCGTACTACTGCCTAACGGGTGTAAAAACTGTGTTAAGTACGATGTAATGATGAGAATTGAGAAATTATGTAGTGTAAATAATCGAAAAGTTACCATATTTGTTTAAAAACAATGGGACTATTGATTGGCTGAATCATTTAGGGTCTGTTTGTTTTATTTTTTTAGTATGTGTTTTTAGGTATTTTTTGTATTAGGAATATAAAAAAGTGTATTGAAAATGTAAAAAAGTATATTGGAATGGGACAGTTATTAATATTAAATTCTGAAAAAACCAACAAAAAAAGGAAACAAACAAAGCCTTAATTATATTTTTACAGTTTTTCTGTTGTATCAACGCAAATTATTTTCCTATCTCATGAAAATGATTAAAAAAATGTGGACAACTCCTGTTATTCTAGATAGAGAGGAGAATGATATCTTCGTAGCATTGAGTTAAGAGTTTGAAAATGATTATTTTGATATTATAGCTCTTGTAGATGGTTTTAACTTTTAAGTTACGTTAGTGCCCATTTCTTTTTATCTATTTTCGACTTGAAAAATGGTAATGAGTTATCTGTCGTCTGTTTTTAGGAGTAAAAGGACATTGCTTTTTCTCTTTTTATTTTTTTTTTTCAACTTGAAAATGGTGATGAAATTCTCTTATCATAATTTCCTTCCCTGAATATCCGAATTTATGAGTTGAGAGTTGAGTTTCATAAGTGATATGGGCATTGAATAGTATTAGATTGGTGCAAATTTTAGTTTGTGAGAAGTGAGTTTCATACACATTTGTCTGAATTTTTAGCAGCTGAATTCATACATATCTCCCACTTTCAACAAACAGCACTTCGCAACATGTTTCGTAACAATAATCATTTACAATAATGACAAAGCTAACAGTAATGAGCAATCACAAGCTATGTTACATATAATTAGTCAAAAAACAATCAACTCCAAACCTTTCCTCTCTTCTAGCGAAAACATACTCTAAATTAATTTGGATAATGATTCGTGCAGGGAAGTTTTACAAAAAAAAAAAATTAACAAAAAATGAGTTACAACCATTCATATCATTTAAAGGTTAAAGAATAGTTAAAATTTAGCTACCTCATTCCTGTAAATTTCTTTGTTAAATTTTCCCTGCACGTATCACCACTCAATTGATCTCTTCACCCCCCTGTATACATATGCTTGTGTTTCTATTATCTAATTTACATAACACAACTCCCTTTCTACGTTGTCATAAGTTTCTTGTGAAGGAATACTGTGGAAAAAACAATCAAATATCACCTATTATTACACAAAAGAATGAGTAAAATTATTCTACGGATTCGTGTAGTCTTGCATAGGACGTTTCCCCTTTGGATCTTTAATTATCATTCGAAGTGATGTTGTCGTTGTGGCTGTGACGCTGTTTGTTTTGGTCGAGGAGCTAAATGTACGAGAATTGGAATTACCGGAAGTTTCAGAAGATGCAGCATGACGCCTGTGAGGTCTCCTATACCGTGAACCTAAGTATCCTGGTCTTGTTGGCTCTTCTAGATTGCCTGGCTTTTTTGCCAACATGACAACCACACGTTGCATATCAGGCCTTAAATGTGGATCAGCCTGTGCGCAAAGCAATCCAATCTGTATGCACACTGCTATTTGGTCAAGATCTGCAGATGGTGGTAGCAACGGATCCATAATCTCCAAGCTCTTCCCTTTCTTGTATAGTTTGTATGCCTGGATGGAGATGAAACATGCTCAGAAATAAAACCTCCATATACAGAACTTAGTTCGCTCAACAGACCAATAAAGGGATGCATTGGTCTGAACAGTAAATATTCGTAACCAAACCTTGACTCTGTCTATGTATAAACCTTGACTCAGATCATATCAGATATGGAAGAAAGATTCACATGTTACCATGCAGTATGTATTCGAAAAGCTCCAACAATTTTGCCACCTAACCAGATTCATCTTCCTTCAATCATTGACCTCAATCATTAATGACCTAACCAGATCTTATGTTTAAAAATTACCTTAAGGGAAAATGCAGTAAGATTCAACGATCAGCCTATGAGTCAAACGAAATCTCATTTCATTTATGATTGTTAATTTGTTACAAGCGAATTAAATTTAATCTTTAAGGGAGCTCAATAGTTTCAAAAGAAAAGGGAGTTCAAGTGTTGCACGATCCAAGAAGCTACCATATATCATGTGTTGCCCACTTTTAACTATTGCGTAACACTAGCCTTCAATATGGTGACATTCTCCTCACAATATCGCCAAACAGAATGACTAGATAATTGTTCCATAATTCCCTTGCAGTACCATACGATTTTACATAAATGCAAACAGGATATACAAGACTATACAGATTCTGGGAGTAGTTTAACAGCAGGATCATGACTTCTATATGGTAGGAAGGCTTACCCATTCGAGAAGGCTTGTGAACTCAGGATCTCGGTTGAAGGATGAATTCTTCTGACCACTAATTAGTTCCAGGACTAAAACTCCAAAACTATAGACATCTGCCCTTGTAGAAAGATTTCCGTGCAAGACGTACTCTGGGGCCATGTAGCCGCTGTTTCCAAGTTGAAAGCACACGTGATTAAAAGACTTGCAAGCATAATTGAAAGAGAAATATGTAAGACACGTGAGGAGAGTAAACTGGCACAATCTTCAATTGGACTTATGAGGAGAGTAAACTAAGACACGTGACATATGTAATAACATACTTAGTGCCAGCTGCACGAGTGTTAACATGCGTTTCATTTTCTTCAAATAACCGGGCCAAGCCAAAATCAGCTATTTTGGGCATCCATTTATCATCAAGTAGGATATTGCTGGCTTTGATGTCACGATGTATGATGCAACTGTGTGAATCTTCATGGAGGTATAATAGACCTTTAGCCACTCCCATCATGATGTCATGCCTCTTGTTCCAATCTAGTTCTTCTCGCCTACTAGACTCTGCATGAGAAGCACCATTGCCATGACAAGATAAGTAAGATAACATAGTTACCATAGTTGAGAGGTCCTGGTTCCACATACTATTAAAAGTAGTTACTCATTCAAAGGTGAAGATATAAAAACACTTTATCATAAATTGATAATTAGATTGTTAATAATCAGTATATCCCTATTTTTAATAGCGCCAAAACAAATTTAAGATGATCTCCTTCAGCTAGCACCAAAGAAGTGTCTACAGCACCCGGTCCTTGGAAGAGAATAGGAGTGATTAGAGTAGCATGAGCTGGTTACGAGCTTGAGTAAAAGGACATTGTGATGCTCGCGGCCTTGACTACATGGTTAAATTTCAAGATTGATTCTACTTGCCATCAGAAAACACAAATAATTAAGGGTCATATAGAGCCATATGGAGCCATTCAGTTTTTAAAAAGCCACCTCTGCATTCAGGGCAAAATAGTTGATACTATTTAATCTGAAATAACAGAAAAATCCAGCATGTGTTCAAGGTTTTCGATTCTGTGGAAATATGCATTCCTCTTAGGCCATTCTGATGGCTGACTTGTCACAGATAATACTAGATAATAACTGAATCCTTTTGTTTCAATGTAGGGATGTTACCAAGTATACAATTGTTGCTCTTACAATGCCTTCAACTTATCCTATCATAGCCACCCATGTAAAAGAGAACTGTAATTTTCAATCATCAAAAAACCATCTGAAACACACATGAATACATTATCCTGAGCATGTAATCTTTATGCAAAATACTAGCAATGACGACCGTTTATATTGATATTTATTCTACATATTCCTCATTTACTTAAGCTCAAATTACATAGCACTCTGATGAGGGCATCTAATCACATGAAAATTGTCCACCTTAAACAGCTTATCCAGTTTGAAATATTGAAATTCAGTAGTACCTGTATATTCATTAACCTGCCTAGAATCAGACATCCCCATAACTTTTCTACTTCAAGTGTTCTCTAATCTAATAATATTCCCATGGTGTAGCTTCAAGTTAGATGAAATCTGCACCTAGATGTATACTATAAGAAAATGTCTTGGTTAGTTACTCCAAGAAACATTCTACCCAAACTTTATTTGTACAATAGTATTCTTCTTCAAGATTCTAAGTTCCATGATAACCTCGCAAAACCTAACGCAGTGCTATAGGTAAAAGCCTAAAACATACCAGATATAAACTACCATGGAAAGGTAATCACAGAACTTACTAAAAAGCAGCTTGTCAAGGCTCTCATTAGGCACAAACTCATAAACCAGCAATTTCTCAGAGCCATGAGCACAATATCCTAACAAAGTCACCACATTTCTGTGCTGCACTCGCGCCAACAACTTGGCCTCATTCATAAATTCTTTCTTCCCCTGCCGCGAGGTCTGTGACAGTTTCTTCACAGCTATGAGCTTCCCATTATCCAATCTTCCCTATTAAACAAGAAAGGGCATAATTTAGGTAATTAAAAAGAGCGTATGAGGAAAACACTAAGACAAGAAAGAAGATAAACTAAATCGATACATTCTGATACCTTGTAAACCGGGCCAAAACCCCCCTCGCCAAGCTTATTACTCTGATGGAAATTCTGGGTTGCAGCAGCAAGAGTTTGAAATTGGAACTGCTTTTGTTCTTGGGCTGCGATTTTCTCCAAATCGTCTTCTTTTTTATCTTTAGTTTAATCACCCAAGAAATATTAAAAAAAAAACAACCAATTGAGGAACAAAACCCAAAACATAGCTAACTTAAAAACATTTAAAACCCCAGAGTAAATCGCATCAAATTTCGAAAAACGAATGTGAAAAAAAATAAAAATCTAACCTTTATCGGACTTTGGGATGAAGGGTTTTATGAGACTTTGAAGAAAGCCGCCGGGTTTAGTCATATCTGCTAATTACTGCCATGAGAAATGAGGACTGAACAAGTAGACTTTTAGGAGAAGCCGGGCATGGATCAAATCGTTTTGATCGTTCTGGGTTACTGATTAATTAATGATAACGAGGAAATAAGCTTTTGAATTGAGGTCCTCCAGGTTGATATGGCTCAGTCATGAAAGGCGAAAAGTAGCTCCCCTCCTCCGTATTGAAAAAAACTCCGGTGGAGAGAAAACGTGTTGATTCGGAGAAAAAATAAAATGGAAATTTGATTTTTTGACTTTGTTCTCTAAGTCAAACCGGCCACACGTTCTAACTAACCAAATTATTTTTAGTTTTTTGAGTACATTTTCTTTAATTTTTGGTAACACGTTTCAGTTAATCCACACTTGTGGACACATTGTATGTAACATTTCAAATATTGTGATGTAAATTTCTCTGGATGCAAACCTGGTAGAGGTTCGGTACGTATTTAATCTCTTATTCTATTCAACTATTGCCAATCTATTACACTTGACGTAAATTTTTCTGAATGAAAATGTAGTAAAGATTTTGTACGTATTAAACCTACTACTATCTATGATTCTATATATCATGAACTACGTTCAACAACTATCAATCCATTACACTCGTCTCTCTTGTCACGTACCTAGTTGACAGTTTTAAAAAAAAAAAAAAAAAGAAATTAGACAACACAACGAGATTAGAAACCTGGACATGAAAATACAATTTTATTTTGGGAATAACAAGATACCAGATATTAACTTCCTAATTTAAGGTTAATCCCCAACTTTTGTAGGTAAAACATTAATGTAACTTCACGACCATTGATGGCTAATCATAGAGCCTACCATTTTTATTTTTTTATTTTTTTTTGTTGCCAACGTTTGAAATCCATCTTATGGAATACGTTTTTTTTTTAATTATTTTAAATACAATTTTTAGAAACACTTTACAGTGCATGTGAATTGATATGTATAAGATAGGGGATAATAGTATAATACTACTATGAGCAGAATTCACGAACGCATGCCTTTCGTTCAATAGTAATGATCGATGAATGTTTTGTGGTAATTGCAGGGATAACCAAAGTACCAACTATTTTTGGTTGTAACACATGTTTTCTATCAGCAATTTGTTCTCATACAAAATTTATTTTCTTTTTAACTTATACCTCGTCCACTTAAAAAAAATAATAAAATAAGAAATCGAATATTTTGATCATATTCACCCGAAAAGAAAACCCAAAAAAGAAAAAAAAAACCCCAATAGCAAAGATCATATATCTTCCTGGAAAGTTCAGGAACTTAACCATCTCATTGCATTTACTTTACAATTGCAATACCTAAAGCAATGCTGCTCATGCACATGGAAGTAATTCACGCCAGAGATGCTCAGAAACCTACCGCCGTCTTGAAAGAGATTTTTTAATCAAATCAAATCTTTTCTTTAATTATTTTTTTAACATATCCCAAATTGCCTTAATCATTATCAACACCAGGAAATCATTATGGAATATGCTTATGATCAAAGGACTAGGGTTAACAATTAACGTACTGTTTATAGTCCAACATACACTAGTTGAGCTACTTATGACTTCGATTTAAACTAAGTTAATACGAGATAATTTTAAACAGACATATACAGTACTCAAATTAATATACTTAAAACTCGTACAAGATCTTTTTTGTGCATTCACTGGACTGAGACACTAGCTAGAATGAATAAAGCAAGATGGACCAAAGAAGGTGCCAGCTATGGATGAATAATGTAGCTCAATGGATCGCACATTTGCATATAATCCTAAAGCTGATTTAGGACTTTTCTCACTGTCCATATGAATTAATATTTAGTGAGAAGTACAAAATTATTGGCTTCATTAAAAACAAAGTAAGCTGCCTCCTTAATCATGCCCTAAAACACATTTGCCTTAGCTGTAAAACCAATGCACTAATGTCTATTCAATTAAGTAGTTATTGAAATTGCAATATGCCATGTTCTTTTCTGTCTACACCTAACCAAAGCCCATAGTTGCCCCATTCTTAAAGCAAAATCAATTCTGATAGCAACATGATCATCTGGATTCAAGCTCTTAATTAATGTAATGTACTTCCTTCCTGTTCCAACAACAAAATTAATAAAAGGGTGAATAATGTACCAAAAACCAAAACCCTTATTTACATTTTGTTTCCATTTCCATCAACAACTAAAAGAAGGAAAGACAACCAACACACTGTTCATTTCCGGTCAAACAGACAAGGTAGAGACTTGTAACTGCGAAATTCAGAAATTGTTTGGTATAGGGAAAAGGTAATAAATAAAAAGCACTTGGGGAAAAGAAAAAAGAAGGTAAATTTGGTCTACAAAAAACACACTCATTTTGTACATACTTACAACTTGATACACAGTATACAACCCTTCAAAAACTTTATTAAAAAAAAAAAAAAAAAAATCAACACCAAGAAAAAAAGAAAAGAACCCATGATTGATTTTCTTCTAAAACCTACAATGCCTAATAATAACTTATCCCCTATTCACCTGGCAACTGGAATCTTTTTGTTGGATAGTTTCCAGCTTTGCAAGCCTGCCTTTTTCCCTCAGCTTGCAAACTGACAGGTTGTGGTTCTTGTGTGTTTTTCCTCCATCACTACACTACATGCAAATGCATTCATCTTCCTCCTTTTTTTTCCCCTCAAAAAAAGGTGGAGATAGACACTGAGCCCCCACAAAACAAAAAAATAGTTTGGGTTTTCATACTACAATGCACTAAATTACAATGGGAAAACAAAAGACAAAATAGGGTTGGGGTAGACTTCCCTCTCCTTGTCTACCAAGACTGCTAAATTGCAGACCATTCCAAATGAAGGACATTCCATGGAATTTGACTTGACCTGACACAACATTTTTTGGAATATTTAGCATCATCCACTTAGATCATTTGGTCTTCAGAGGATGGATAATAGTCCTCTAATAGCTTCTCCATTTCAAGTCCACTTCTTGCAACTGAAATCTGAAATTGGCTTCTGCATTGAGGAAAAAGACCTAATATATATCAGACCAATGTCATAACAGAATTGACATTTTAGAGAAAGGGGGAATCAGTAGGAAAAATGGACTATTATTTTCAAATGACTCATGCTAAAATAAGAAATAATCAGAAGTTACCTCTAAATCTTTTTTTGCATCAAGTTTGGAGTTTTTTTCTTCTTTTTGGGCTTCATGGAAGAGGACCATCACTGAAGTTCCTCGCCCGAAGCTCTACGTTTCTCAAGTCTCTCAGATGTTGCAATATCTCTTGAAGAAGATCCATTCCTTTATCACCTTTCTTCAAGGAACTAATGCAGTGTTTTAAGAACTCTCTATCTGCTTCAAGAGCTTGTAGCCTTTCATAAAGATGCTCCACTTCCTCTTCAATGGCTGAATTTTTGTAATCTACTTCTAGACCTCTCATATCCATGTCTTGCACACCATTAGCATGATCAGAACCATTCATGTTTCCCACACCATTAGCATGATCAGAACCATTCATGTTTCTGTTTAGTTCGACTTCTCCATTTTCATCAATGACTGCATCAAAAACAGGAAGGAGATTTCTTCCTTTTAACGCTGAGGTTCTCCTCTCTTGAGAGTTTTTGGCATTCATTTCCTTTGAGAATCCATTTGTATGACCATTCATTTCTCCATCAATGTGACCATTTTCTGTTTTACATTCGCCGTTTTGATCGCTTAAATGTTCTACTGGTCTAACATCCTCAAATTGACTTTCCCCTTCATTATCCAAGCTCATGAGCTTTTCTTCTAAAACCTTAAGTTGCTCTAGAATGGACAATCTCTCGTCTTCGAAGTCAGCTAACGATTCCTCCAAATTCATTACTGCATCCACAGGAGTGTTATGATGGCTGGATTCATGGTTGCAATAACCATTATCATCTTCCTTTGGATCTTGATTCAAATCAATAGACAATCCATCGCTGTCTTCGGCATTGCTACACGAGGTCGACGAGAATCCACTTCTAGCACTTCCATTGTTGCTTCTCCTCAGCATTCTAACTTTCTCTCTTGTCTCATATTCCACAACTTTCCTCTTATAAACTTCCAGCTCTTTCTCAAGCTCTTGCTTTTCTTTTTCCCTCTTCACCATCAGCTCATTCAAGAGCTGCAAAGCTTCTTGATCATATTCAGCTTGTTCTTCCATCATCCTCTGATATTGCAAGGCTTCCATTTGCATCTGTGCCTTTTCCTCCTGAAGTCTGTTTATCATTGCCATTGTCTGATTAGCAGCCACAGCTGAAGCACTCCTCTCTTCTTCCAGTTCAGCATATAAAGCTTGTAAAGTTTTTCGTTCGGCTTTCAGCGCTTTTTTCAGACTGTCAGGGGTGACATTGCCATCACCACCTTCTATATCACTCAAGACGCTTCCATCTAGAGAGTCTTCAGTTCCTGAATCCTTCTTCTCAAGCAGTAGCAGTTTCTGGTGCAAGTTATGGAAACTGTCAACAGATGTCGGTGTATCGGGAACTTTCTCTTCATCAATTCCATTCAAATCTGGACAATATGACATTTGATTGCTTGTTACAAGCTCACTCAAATCAATTGATAAAGTCTGCAACTCTAATGTCTGTTCCTGAGCATTAGCACCTAAACAAAAGGAAGTATCTTTGGAGTCAAAAACAAAGCACATATATAAATGCTAGTAAATGAGACTAAACGAAAAGGCAACTTTTTAGGCTTACCATGGTGAGCATCATGCTGTAAATTGGCAGAATTTGTAGAATGATCTTCAGGAGAAGATTCAAATGACACGGTACCGTCCGGCATTTGAATATCAACTGTGGCATCCAAATCTGGAATTTCTGTCCCAATGGAGACCTCTGCATCAGTTTCATTAGCTGGGATTTGAGTAATATCTTCAATGGCTACATTTAATTGCACATGATTTCATTTCAACTAGTTAATGACTTCATACATGAAGATAAATCTAAGCTCTAAAAAGAGTTAAGTGAAAAAAAAAAATAAAAAAAATGAAACTAACCTGAATTGTTTTCTTCATCTTCTGCAACTGGCATTAGCTTAGAATCACCTGTTTCTGGAGATGAGGAAGTGACTTCAACATCTTCAGACACCTCCCTCACTGCTTGAAAAACCCAAGAACTCTCATCTTCTTCCATTTCCATGGATTCAAGTACAGCATATTTAGGCTCCTCCTCTTCCTGAGTTCTCTGACAGGAAATTGCTGCCTCTGACTCAAATTCTGTACAGACATTTTCCTCTGACTCAACTTGCATCATTGTCTCCAAATTTGCTCCTTGATTGTTGTTCTCAGTTGTCTGATTCTCATCCTTATTTAAATATGCAATTTGATCTTCTTCTGTGGTTGAATCAATCATATCTATTGGGACTAATCTGTTGCCAGTGTAATCAAAAAAGAACTCCAGATGCTGAGGAAGTATTCCATTAGATTCACCCTCTTCAAAACAAACTTGAACAGATTCATCTTTCATATTTACTTTTGTTCCAATACTTCCCTCAACAACAAGTTCCTCCTTCTGTTCTTCTTCTTCTTCTTCCAAAACTTCCTTCATCTTTTCATCTTCATCCCCCAACATTTCTTTCTTTGGTAAAGAAACTGAAACATCCTCTGCCTCTTCCTCCTCCATTACAATAATACCATTCCCAAAATCAGAAAGCATCTGTCTTTCAGTCTTGTCTCCAAACTGATATCCATTTCCACATTGGTCAGTTGAGCCAGAATCTGATCTCTGTTTACCCAATTCACAGAGATAATCTCCCTTTTCAATCTCCATAATCAAATTCATTTTCTCATCAGAATATTCCAAAACATCATCATCCCAAGGAGAAGGCTTGACCAGAACATAAGATGAGTATTTATTACTGTCCAGCTCAACTCCACAACAAGAACACTTGGAAATTTCCTCATTATTATCTTCAACTCCTACTTTCTTTCCATCCCTGTGAATCATCCCCAAATCTTTTATCCATGGGATTACAGTAACATTTTTGCCTTGAATTTCCGGCCTTGAGGACAAGCAATCCTCGCACAAATCCTGACACTCAATCAACTTCCGATGGTTCGAACAATAACCCAATCTGGAAATCTCTGCAGAATGAGCTTCACAAAGAAGATCCCTGTGCATGTTCTTGCTTTTTGTGGGATCAAACAAGTGATCAATCCTTGAACACCAAAGGCAAGGTGGCTTTAGCCCAACATAATCAGCAAACTTGATGATCAGATAAGAAAACAGAGAATTCAGGAGGAGGAGAGAAATCAAAGTCCATTCAAGAACTGCATATATGAGAATAAGCGTAATCTTATTGCTGTTTCTATAAACCATAGTTGCAAACTTGTTTGCAGCCATTTGTGATACTTCAAATTCTTACATAGACATATGAAGAAGAAAGAATAAGAAGAAGAAGAACAGAGTAAGGGTGGGAGAAAATGGCTTTAAGGGTCAGTCTGAAATCCTGAGAAGAATCAGAAAAAGAAAGAAATTGTAGTCTAAATTATGAAAAGGTGAAAGTGGGAATGGATTTTTATTTGGACAATGGAAAAAAAAGAAAAGAAAAAGAAAAGGTCGGTTGGAAGAGGAAGACAGCCAAAGAAGACTTCAATCTTTAGAAAAGGATGAACTTGAATTATGGCCAAAATTAAACAAAATTAAAGGTATGCTTCAGCAACCTTATTATGACCCTCCTAATTCCTTTTTTAATGTTCATAAGGGTTTAATAACACATTTTATAGTGTAATTCTATTTAATAATCCTTCTGTCTCGAAAAAATAATAAACTGTAACGAAACAAACTTTTTAAAACTAGAAGAGTAATATTTGTTGAATGAAATATGTACTTGCATTTATTTCATTCACCAATATATGAATTGGAGAACTAGTGCCAAACTAGTGCCAGACGATGAGACTTGATATGTGTACCGATTATATCGCTGAAGATAATACATGAATGTTAAGGTAGAAGATACCGATTTTTCTATTGATTTTTTTTATTGATATATTGTTTTTATTGATAGTTCTAGAAAATATGATTATTTATTGTTATAATATTTTAGGCATTAGTCTTCTTTATGGTACCAAAAAAAAAAAAAGATACATATTTTTATTTATTTATTTTTTTTGGTTTTGCCACAATTTCTTCTCTCTCTCTCTTTTTCCTATTTTTTTTCCCTTCTTTGGTTCATAAAGTTTTAGTTACATTCCCATATATTGTATGAAAATGCTTTGATTTTTTCTATTTTAATAAAGATAGAAAATAGTTAAATAATATTTCACCTTTAAAGGTAGATTGCATTACATCTAAAGACATTGGTACGGCTGTTTATAGAAATTTTTCAGGGGAGGACGTAAGAAAGTCTTCAAAGATTGTCTGTACAGATGGATCAAATCACAAAATTTCACTAGAATGGAAAATGCAGAAAGTATTGAAAATAAGCTAAAACCGTTTATGTCTATGTTATATATTATTATTTAATATATTTTGGTATGATGAAGAAAATACAAACTGTTTTTGCACAAGTTGATTTTTTTTTTTTTGGACAAAATTTTATATAAAAACGGCTACCGACTCAACAGCTCTACCAAAGATATGCTTTGATTTTTCCTCAATTAAACAGGAAAAAGTAATCCAGAAATATTTTTCTAATTGTTAAATAAAAATATTATGGTGGGTGGGCAAATTCGGCAACGAAACCCGGAAAGTGATGGAAGTGTTTATAATTATCGTAATTTTTTTTTTTAAAAAAAAAACTTTGGATCCAAAATCAAAAAAGCGTTTTGCTTTGCAAAAATGCAAATTTTCGCTGTGCCCGCTCCCAGCCTCAAGGCTCCACCCTGTTTCTTTTTTTTCTCTTTGGTCATCAAAATGGAAGGGTCCACCTATCAAAGAAATTGGGTTTATGGACCCCACTCCCTCAAAGCAAACTCGAATTGGGTCCCTTGAAGATGCCAGATGCTGGAGCTCATCATCATCGGCATACTTGTCTACTACCACCTTTTTTCTTTCTTTTTTTTTGGTCAATAATCGAGGGTTGGTTTTGATGAGAAATAACTTCATAAAAGAAAATGAAATTATAAATTATATTGTGTGCAGCAGTACATTACATTGCTTCTATTTATAAGCATACATCAACATTAATTAAGATCTAGATATTATAAAATTAGAAATAATCTAAATAGAATCTAAATAATTCTAACTAATGAGATCTTTGACTAATCTTATCAGCCCCCCCGTAAGCTCATGGGCGGAACAACAATGAGCTTGTCCCGAAGTTGAAAAAAAGTCTTCGTAGGCAGAGCTTTGGTCATAATATCAGCAATTTGGGCATCGGACGGAACATGCTGAATAGTAAGAGCTTTTTGACGAACCAAATCACGAACAAAGTGAATGTCAATCTCAATATGTTTGGTGCGTGCATGAGATACTGGATCAGCAGCAAGGTAAATAGCTCCTAAATTATCACACCAAAGAGTAGAAGGTAATGAAGACAAACCAAGCTCACGGAGGAGAGAAAAAAAGCTAACATAATTCAGCTGCAGCAAGAGCAAGACTGCGATACTCAGCTTCAGTACTTCAACGAGCAACAGTCGGTTGTTTCTTAGCACTCCAAGAGATGAGATTAGAACCCAAAAAAATGCAATAGCCGGAAATGGAGCGGCGGTCATCAGGACAACCAGCCCAATCAGCATCAGCAAAAGCAGTAATTGAAAGAGGGGAACTCTTTGTAAGATGTAGGTCATGGGTATGGGTAGAACATAGGTAACGAAGTATACGCTTAACAACTGACCAATGAATATCAGTGGGACAATGGAGGAATTGAGACACTTTATGAACAACAAATTGGATATCAGGACGAGTGACACAAAAATATTGAAGAGCACCAACAGTACGCCGATACTCTGTAAGATCAGATAAAGGTACACCATGATTTTTAGAGAGAGGTAAGGTGGGGGTTATGGGGGTAGAGACGGGTTTGGATGTGTCGAAGTGAGTGCGAATGAGGAGATCTTGAATATACTTAGATTGAGAAAGAAGAAGACCGGTGAATGTAGATTGAGCTTCAATACTCAGAAAATAATAAAGAGAACCAAGATCTTTGATGGTGAAGGTAGAATGAAGCTCATCAATGAGAGATTGAATGAAGGAAGAAGAGGAACTAGTCACCAAGATGTCATCCACATAAATTGGGACAAAAGTAGTGTGTGAAGACTTAGACAAGATAAAAAGAGAAGTGTCAGATTTAGAGGAAATAAAACCAAGAGTATGAAGTTTCTGACTAAGACGGTGAAACCAGGCTCTAGGAGCTTGTTTGAGACCATATAAAGCTTTGTGAAGACGACAAACATGATATGGATATTTTGGATCAACAAATCCTAAGGGTTGACTCATATAAATGTCCTCATGAAGATTACCGTGGAGTAAGGCATTGTTCACATCAAGTTGACGGATTGGCCAATTTCGATTAAGAGCAATGGTGATGACAATGCGAATGGTAGTCGGTTTGATTACCGGGCTGCAAGTATCTGTGTAATCTATGTCAGAAGATTGATGGTAGCCTTTAGCTACTAAACGAGCTTTATAGCGCTCAAGAGTCCCATCGGATTTTCTTTTAGTTCAAAAAACCCACTTACAACCCACAATATTAGCATTAGGAGGAGGAGAAACTAGAGTCCAGGTTTGATTACGTTGAAGAGCATTAAACTCTTCAAGCATAGCTTGACGCCAGTGAGGAAATGTATTGACCTGACTAAAAGAGGTGGAGTCAGGTTCAGGAGGACAAGTAAGAGAGGAAGTATAGGTAACATAATCATTTAAACGGTTAGGCTTACGAGTTGTGGTACGAGTGGTCATGTGATGTCTTAGTGGTGGAGGTGGTCTAGGCGGGGAACTAGATGGTGGTGGAGGTGGTCTAGGCGGGGAATTAGATGGTGGTGGAGAAGAAAGCCTTGTTGAAGAAAGAGTTTGTGTCGTAGGATTGGAAAAAGGTACAAAAGGAGGAGGAATAGATATTGGTAAAGGAAGAAACACCCGTGATTATGGAGTTGGAGAGGACGTAGAAGTTTGAGACGTAGCATAAGGAAAATCAGTTTCAAGAAACCTTACATGTCGAGAGATGTAAAGTTTGGAACTTTTTTGGATCAAAGCAACGATATCCCTTGTGTTGGGAAGAGTAGCCTAAAAAGACACAAGGAATTGATTTTGGGGATAATTTGTCAGCACGAGTAGACCCAAGAAATGGGAAGCAAGTACACCCACATACTCGAAGGTGCGAGAGGGAGGGAGGATTGGAAAAAAGAACCTCATGAGGAGATTTATTAGTAATAACTTGAGTAGGAAGGAGATTGATTAGATAGGTGGCAGTGGAAAAAGCTTCAACCCAAAAGGATTTGGGAAGAGAAGCATGAAGAAGAAGAGTAAGCCCGGTTTCAGTGATATGACGAATTTTTCTTTCAGAAACTCCCTTTTGTTGAGGAGTATGGGGACAAGAGATGCGATAAGAAATACAATGATTACGAAGATAATTGGCAAAAACACCTTTCACAAGTTCAGGAGCACCATCACATTGAAAATATTTGATACTTAGAAAATAAATTTTCAGTAAATGACTTAAAATTTTGGAAAGCATGAAAGGCATCAGATTTATTAGTAAGTGGATAAATCCATGTAAAACGACTAAAGTCATCAATAAAAAAAATAAAGTACCGGTAACCAGAAAGAGAGAGACAAGGACTTGGACCCCAAATATCACAATGAATTAAATGTAACGGCACTTTAGAAACACGAGAAGATGGAGTAAAAGGAATTCGAGTACTTTTGCATTGCAAACAGGAATTACAAGAATTTATTTTGGAAGATTTAAATGACAAAGATCGAGCTAAAGATGAAAGAGTTGAGTGACACGGATGTCCGAAACGGTGATGCCAAAGATCAGGAGGAACAGCACGAGCAGCCAGAGCTACAGGATTGTGGAATGTCTTAGAAATCTTCATAGGATAGAGGTAATTGTGGATGTTACCCGCGAGAAGCGGAGTCTTGGTGACTAGATCCTTCACAACATAACCAAAAGGAGAAAATTCCATTAAACATGAATTATCAGTGACAAATTTTTCAACAGATAAAAGGTTTGTAGTAAGCTGGGGAACAATGTAAACATTACGTAAATAAAGAGATTTTGGGTACTTGGTGACTGCAGTGTGACCAATAGAAGTAATAGGAAGAGTAGTACCATTGCCAACAATCACTTACTGATTACCATGATATGGAGTGGTAGAATCCACTAAAAGAGGATCAGGTGCCATATGAGCCTGGGCGCCAGAATCAGGAAGCCATTCAGGGATGTCACTAGATGTAAAGGGTGAAAATTCTTGAGGCTGGGGTTCTTGGATAGTGGAGGTGTGAAAAGCAGTGGGCATGTTTGTGGGAGCAGAAGAACGATGAGTTTGATTATTGCGAGATTCAGCGTAGCGGAAACGACAAACAGCAGCGGAATAGTTGAATTTTTTGCAGATTTGGAATTGGGTAGGATTGGGTTGTTGGGTAAAGTTGGGGTAAGGGCTAAAGGATGAGGTATAAGGCTTATAGGGAGTAGAAGGATGGGTGGGGAATTGGGCTTGTTTTGGGCGATTTTGGATAGTGTTGAAGGGACGGTGTAGACCGTATGAATTGGGGTTGGGATAAAATAAGTGCGGAGTTGAGTTATTAGGAAAGTAGGGAGAGAGTTGACTACGACCACAGCCTGAATTGGGTT